TGATCTTCATCACCTTAAACGAAAAAGGGTGAATATATCTCATATAAATCCAAATATCTTCTTTACAACGTAGGGACTGCGGCCATATTTAGGTCAAAATCAGCATGATTTTCGTACCATGGAATTTTTATGGTCCAACAAACTTGAGGCTGTCTGGAAATGGCCAAAACATCAGTATTGCTATACAATAAAGATATAAGGTTACAAAAAATTTTGATCATGCTGCAAGTTCCAATATGAAGGCACTAAACTTAATGGATTAGTCCGATATTTCCCAAAAGCGCATCTTTTTACCTAAGACTGGAGATAATTAAGCTTCAGGAATAAGTCATTCTAAGTTTTTGCTAGTAGATATAAAGAGCAAAATTGTGTGGCCCACTGTTTGATCGCAGTCTCTTTTAACTTGCTAATTTTGTCGGCTCGACCCTATTTTCGCAACTTGGTCCAAATGTCATGGAGACATTGTGGAACGTACCTAGTCCCGTGTCCTCTGCCATAATAGTCGCGAGTTCCAGCATTGAACAATTGGCTGGCCACATTCCCAAACGTTTCGTCGGCATTGTCAGCGAGAGGCACCATCGTAAGTACAGAGTTACAACTTATCAAATTGAAAAATGAATGAAATCCACTTTTCTGTCCAACCGTTGTGGCATCACTCCTCACTCTATTTTTTGTTCTACCCTCTAATGCCACATTTCTTTCTCTCAACCCCCCTTTTTCACACAAATATGTGATCCTGTTTCCTCCAACGTCGCCTAAGAGTTTGTCGCTACAAGTGGGTTTAGTGAAGCGTAATTATCTCCACCACAGGTACCAGATGCCGTTTGCAGAGCTCCTGGCCCACATTCTGCCTTCCTTTTTTTCCCAAAACCCCTGTTTGGCTGTCTGAAATCTGGCTGCCTAAGAACTTTCCATTCCCGCCCTCGATTGCGCCATATTCGCGAAGTTAGAGCAGTCTATGCACATGCCAGTGCCTGGGAATCTTCCTCTCCCCATTCTTCAAACACATGACTCGATTATCCTCTCCCTCATCCACACCCACATTGTGTTTTATTCTTTAGGGCCCTGTGCCCGGCTTAACTCATAACCTCTATTATTAGAATGCACCGCTTCCCTTTAATCCTTTGAATCGCGAAAAGCACACTCGTCTCGTCCCTCTAGTTGACGCTTCCATCTAAGTCTAGGGAACTAGGATGATGTTCATTTGGGTGCTGTCTTGTATGCCTCGTGGTCAAGCCTGTCACCTATCCTCTCCTCTCACAAGCAAATTTTTGGTCAATTCCACGTTTGACTCCTCTCACTGCTGTCGCCTTGTCTTGACTTCCCTTTGTTCTTCATAAGCCGCTCATTGGTGATGTCTCTTCCTGTAGTTGAACAGTTGTCATGGCTCCAAGTTTCCTACCCTTACTGGCCACACAAATGACTGGAATGCAACAAAAAGACTGGCCTAAAATGGGGAAAACACCTGGAAAAGGAAGATCATGTAGGCTGTGGACATCCTTTTTCAGAGAAACCTGGTGAACAGGAGATTGGAATAAGGAAGAGTCAACAATAATTTCGCATACTGGTTGAGCTGACTTGGAGATTCGATGAATAAATCAAAAAGAAGAAGCTTGGAGCCAGAACAACAGTTCTACAGCAGGAAGAAGCATCACCAAGGCGCGGCTGATGAGGAGCAAAGGGAAGTCAAGAAAAGCAGACTGTAGTGAAATGAGTCGGACATGGAATTGGCCAAAAAATTTGCCCAGAGGTTCACCTGTCAGATTTAAGATATGAAATTAAAGGTTAAAGGTATAGGTGGTCTAGATAGAGGTCACCGGTGTGTGTGTGTGTGTGTGTGTGTGAGTGTCGTGTGTAATTTTCGTATCCGCGTTTGAAGGGGAGGTGACTGATGACAGGCTCGCCTACTGGGGATACCAACCAACCCACACACACAGGGATATCATCCCAGTACATTAGGATTATATGAGAATGTCAGACGAGATGAGAATGGGAGACGAGACGAGTGTGTTTTTCACGATTCAAAGGATTAAAGGGAAGCGGTGCATTCTAATAAAAGAGGTTATGAGTTAAGTTGTGCACAGGGCTCTAAAGAATGAAACACAATGTGGGTGGGGATGAGGGAGAGGATAATCGAGTCATGGGTTTGAAGAATGGGGAGAGGAAGATTCCCAGGGATTGGCATGTGCATAAACTGCTCTAACCCCGTGAATATGGAGCAATCGAGGGCGGGAATGGAAAGTTCTTAGGCAGCCAGACTTTTATTAAAGATATGAAAGTGAAGATGTTGTGGTCCCTTGTATAGTCGCAGTCTCCTTTCGATTTATAGAAATGGGTTGACCTGGTTGTTGCAACTTGATCATGTTGTCAGGGCGACTATGTAGAACGCACCTAGTCCGAAGTCGACTGCTGTAGTAGTTGTCATGATTTCCAGCATCAGACAGTGGACTTGGTACATTCTCAAACGTTTTGGCGGCATTGTAGACGGCATAATAAGTGAGTTTTGCCATTCGTCGCACCAAGTTATGATGCCGGCAACACGTTTGAGAATGTACCAAGTCCACTGTCTGATGCTGGGAGTCATGATAACTACTACGGCAGACGACTTCAGACTAGGTGCGTTCTAATAAGGGATTTTGATATTTAGTAGCGGCCACTTGGCAAGCGGGTGAGCACAAAAGGAGAGCAGAATGTAGGCCAGGAGCGTTGCAAACGGCATCTGGTACCGGTGGTGGAGATGATTACGCTTCGATAAACCCACTTGTAGCGACACATTTAGGCGGCGTTCGAGGAAACGAGATCACATAATTGTGTGGACAAGTGGATGGGCGGTATGAAGTGGGGTTGAGAGAAAGAAATGTAGCATTAGAGGGTAGAAGAAAAAATAGAGCGAGGAGTGATGCCACAATGGTTGAACAGAAAAGTTGATTGCCTTCATTTGTCACTTTTATAAGTTGTAACTGTGTACTTACGATAGCGCATTTCTCTGACAATGCCGACGAAACGTTTGGGAATGTGGCCAGCCAATTGTTCAATGCTGGAACTCGCGAATATTGTGGCAGAGGACACGGGACTCGGTACGTTCCAGAATGTATCCATGACATTTGGACCGGTTGAGAAAACAGGGGCGAGCCAGCAACATTTTACGTTTTAATCGAAGGTATGAAGACTAAGATGGTGTGGACTTTTGTGTGTTCGCAGTCTCCTTTCGTTATATAGAAGTTGTTTGACCTTGTTTTCGCAATTTGGTCATAATGGTAGGAAGACTTAGAGGAACGCACATAGTTTGGAGCTCATTGTATGCATGATGATTTCCAGAGTTGAACTGCGTACGTGGTCTGGTATTTTTTAGTACAAGCCAGAATTAGCTCTGCAGTTTCTCACTCCTTTAAAAGTACAGGTAAAGACAGCGCATTGTCTGGGAATCGTAAATTCTTCTAGTTTTCTCCCTCCCAAAATTTCGGCCACTCCTCTTCTCCTATTAACTAGACCGATACTAATTTCAAAGTTCAAACTTTCATTATCCCTATCAGTTCAACCATTAGATGATCCCTTCTTGATAATGTTTTGGAACTCAGAAATCTGTTGACAAATATTATTTTCGCTATTTGTTTAAGTCAATTGCTTTCTCGTCTAGGATAATTTACTGCCATTGTTTTTTCGATCACGTGTTTCCTTCCCAATTTGTCTGAGAGTATAGACGCCTTAGCTTTCTAACTATAGTGCCTATTTCCTGCTATCGCGATACTCGTTAAAACATTTGTTAATTTACGAATTTAAAATTCTTGATGATTCTGGGGTTGTTTCATAATTTCAGCTAATCTTATATTTTGGCATTTGGTATCTTAATGAATTTGAGTCCGTTTCAAAGTATAAAAACAGCTGATTGGTTATACGTAGTAGTTAGGGCTCGTTAAAATAATACATTTGAGTCCGGTGATTTTGTGGATATTTGAACTCATTTCTCTATTTGTCACTTTTTCTAAATATTTTTATTGGGACAACTTTCATTTCGTATGAAAGTGCATAAAGAAAAGATTCGTTGGTCGATCTTACCAGATGAGGACGGATGAATCTCGTTGTACCGCAGTTTGGCCTTTATGAGATGTACAAGTTGAAGCAGCCCACGAGATTTCCTCCCTCGTTTCCGGTCAAAACGGGCTGAGCTTTCGTCCATCATCAGCTCTGTGTGTTATGTTTGTAAGAATCTCACGTGAGACTCATATGATGTACGAAGGCTCAACCTATTTTCACCCGAAACAAGGGAGGAAATCTCGTGGACTGCGTCAACATGTACATCGTATAAAAGTCAAACTGCAGTACAACGAGATTCAGTCTTCTTATCTGGTGAGATCAACCACGGAATTTCTTCTTCATGCCTTTTTATACGGAATGAAAGTCCCCTTAACAATGTTAGCTGAGGAGATTTGTATCAATAAATATTTTTAACAAATACATTAAACAATATTAGAGCGCACAATGACCTATGAGCGCCCAGCCTTCATACGTGGCGATGTTCAAATGTATCAAAGTCTTTAAAATCAGACTGCATTTCCTTCGAGGTGCAATGATTACGCTTTCATGCAAATGAAACAGAAAAGTCTAAAAATGACTAGGCTGATTAACTTCCAAAAATAAGAAGGCGAATTGGAAGTGTTTCTGGTTACTGATAAGGAGGATGTACACTAATTAGAGGATGAGGCAGATTAAAAACTTGGGCTTAAGCAATTTATATTAGGCTTTGGGGGCTTTATAAATCTAATCACATATTTGGATTATTTATCTATGTAAATACAAGTATATTTCGAAAGAGTTTTCCATCACTTAACAGTTTAAAGCTGTAAAATTCATATAATTAAATTGGTCCATGCTGAAATTATCATAAGAACTATGGACGTCAGATATTAGTTTGGTAAATAATGCTCCTGAATTCGATATGCGTAGGATGGAATAAATGGAATTTTCTCTGAGTCCTTTAGTAATCATAAGTTACTATCATGACAAACATATATTGCAAGCTTCAAAAAACGTAGAATTTTTCACTTAAACTCTAAATGTTATTCTATATGGCAA